CTGCTGTTATGTTTGAATGTTTTTATACATTTAAAAAGATTCTAGGTGTAGATCAATGGCTCATTAGTCCACATAATAAAAAATTTTCCAATCAAGATAGAGACTACTTTGCTGGCACAGTAGCTTAACTCAGCAGGGGGCTAGCAAACCAGAGACTTTTTCATGAGATACTACAGTTTTATTTCTAGTGTCACCTATCAGGTCAGGATGCATATCTGCTGTTAAGAGAAATTTCATTTTTGGCATATCAGGCCAGGGGGTGTTGCTTTTGAAGCAGTTCCCTCCTACAGGTAAAAAGAACCTAGGACGAATCCACACTACTAACTGTGAGGGTATACAGAGTTACTGTGCACTTCACTGTTAGAACATTGGTCCAGCGTCACATGGTTTTGTTTTAGAAAAGTTTTACGCGACATGATAGTCCTTTATTGCCAGCAAGCAGATAATGCTTTGTGAACACCTATAGCGAAAACCAATCAAAGTGGGGTATGAGAGCACAGGAAAGAAGATATAAATTTAATTATTCAGCCATCAAGTTTCTTCAGGGCCCTTACATGATTGTTACTTTTTCAAATCTTATAGCTATGAGCACTTTTTTTATCAGCTCCTGGGTATTTGCCAGAAAGCTCAGATAAGGTTTTCTAGATTGTTTCCTCCCTCCTTCCTCATTTACTGAGTGACTAAATTGAGCCAGGCGCTTGGGGTTCAAAAATGCACAAGGCACAGGTCCTGCTCTTCAGGAGCTTGTGGTCTTGTGCAGGGGTCAAAACCTCAAACACCTACCTATTTGGCCAAGCAGGCAAAGTAACTTGAGTGCAGCAGGCCATTGGAGGTCTGCAGCAAGCAGGAAAGTGCTTGCTGGAGGAACCATGGTTGCCTTTCCAGTGTTTAGCCTAGTTTTGCCAGTCTTCTGACTTTTCAATAGAAACTAGTCATTAGATTTTTAAGTAGTAACAACTAAATAAGATTTTGTTTTTAAACGAAACAAGCCTGTGTATTGTATTCAGCCATGGACCGTGCCTTCCTTTTCAGAGCTTTTTTTTCTCCTGTTTACAGTAGTGTTTTTACCTTAGTGTATGATTTTAAAGGCTTAACATAATTTTGGATTTGTTTTACATCTGTATATATGAGAGGTAAATTTCCATATATGCAAGGAGGAATTATGTATTTGTTCTAAGTCCAGGCAAACATTATAAATATGTCATGTTTTGTGTGCATGTTAAAGAGCAAATCACTAAACTTTTTTTTTAAGTTTTACCATGGTAAAAGCTAATTATATAAAGGTTTAATTGTTAGAATTAGCTTATCTTCTCCATTTCTGTCAATTAGTGTTTAAGAATAAAGTCTTACCCGTTAAAATTTACTGGTTTTTGCAAAGTAGGAACAGTGTTTTATTTATTCTTAAAGTCTCTCCTGTGTTTTTTTGAAAATTATGTTTAGAATTTTCAAATAAAAAATGATTATAAAAGACCAAACTTCCACAATATTTTGTAAGTTTTTTTAGAATTTATTTTACTCTTAGAGGACTAACATCTAGCCCTTTAAAAATCAGTTTTGTTGAGAAACTGGGGTGCTTTGATTCTTTTGGCCAATTTTTACAAGCCAAGTAACCCACTGTGGAAACATGTATCAGTATGTAGGAAAGTAAATAGAATTTTTGTGTCCTAGAGAATTAAATTATGCTATATAATGGAGCCCTGGCCAGCATAAGTCAGATATATGAAGGCTTGCTCAAGTGACAAGTTACAAATAATAGCAGTTCTTCAGTGAAGTAGGTAATATGGATTTCAGGTTGAATTCTTTATGCAGTGAGTATGTAATTAGATTTCATTAGTCGAAATTTTAGTTAATTAACTTGAATTACATTGTTGCTTATCCTTATTTCAAAGGAAATATTATGCCAGGTAAAAATGCCACATAGATACAGCTTTACATATTTATTTATATACATCAAGAAAATTTAAGAACGTAACTGTAGAAATAGTATCTTAGCAGTTTTTACTGTACTTTTAAATTCTCTAAGCACATTTTACAATGATTTTTGTGTTACTTGTGTCTTCGTAAAAAATGATGTTTGGCTGTAGGGTCTTTTTGCTAGTTGAGTGGCAGGAAAATAGTAGATCTAGGGGTCACTTATGAATTTAAAAAACCTGTTTTGGCCTATAAATATTGTTTTTCAGAATGGTCTATAATTTAGTGGAAGGAATAGTAACTTCGTTCTCCAAGGTTAAACTTAAGAAAGATTAGAATAATTCAGACCTATATTTATTCTTTTTATCTTTCATTCTTTTATTGATGCATTCATGTAATAAAATGTACAGAATTTGTATTCACACACACACACACACACACACACACAGAATGTCACCTTCACAAGGGCAGGGATCTTTTTTGTTGTTCATCAACATGCAAATGCCTAGAACAATGCCTGGCTTACGGTAAGCACTTATTCTATATCCGTCACTGAATAGCATAAATCTTTGAAGAGGGTCGTGGTCTTAATAGTTGGTAGAGGGACAATAAACAGTTGTAATAACAGGGTGATAAGTGCCATGATGGTGATACTCCAGAAGCATTGGGTGTGTGTCAAGAAATGCTTCCAGCCTGAAGTGATGATGGTTCTTGATCTGAATCTCAGTATGAGCTGCACAAGCTAGGTAAAGGCAGTGGTGAGCGTGGTGGTGGAGAAAAAACCAACGGAGAGAGAACAGCATGGATGTGAAATAAAGTATTGGAGTAGTTCTCAAACTTGAGCATAAGAATCACCTAGAAGGTCTGGGGTGGGGCCCAATCATTTGCATTTCTGAAAAATTTCTGGGATGAGGCGGATGTTGCTCAGCATCACACTTAAGAACCACTGTAATCTGGTGTGTGGGTAGTTGAGGTGAGGTATATGGTTGCATGGCTGTGGCTCTAAAGTAACTTTTTAAAAGTTTTTCCGGAAAAAATTATGATTTAATTCACTGTGATTCAGAAGTTGTAACCAGTTATCTATACCTTTTCATATGGTTCTTTATCCGTCTGATCAGGGTCCTTGGGCATAATTTTAGGATTCAAAAAGGGATTTTTGTTTTTACTCTTTTTAGACATTGTACTAAGAAAGAAAAAAATTGGAAAATTGACTCCACATTGGAAAAAACAGAACGTGTTTTCTGTGAGGGGTAAATGTTGTTTTCAGCACTCCTAAACCACCCTTGCTTCATTTTGTCTCTTCTCACTGTTATAACCTTGTTCTTTTTCTTGTTGGGATTAACTATGTGGCCATTGCCATCATAATGCTGAATTGACTTTACTGTAGGGACTTTACACTTCCCAGTCTAGCAAAATTGACTACTTTTGTTCATTTCAGATTATTTGATTAGTTTAAAGCTAGGAGGTAAATTTTCAGCAAGGTATATGGGGATTTGGCCATATGACTCCTATTAAACTTAATGGGGGTCACAACTCCCATTAAATTAATAGGAATTGTACGGTATACCCGTGTTTGCTGCAGGCAAATGTAACCTTATTTTTT